GGGGTGGACCTGCCCGGCACGGCCGTGCCCTCAGTGTCGGAGGATGCTGCGGCCGCGAGCCGGGGCGGTGGCGGGGTCCGCGGTGAGGGTGCCGCGGCGGCCGGGGACGGATTGGGCAGACCCTTGGGGCCCACCCCGAGCCAGAGCCGCTTCCAGGTGGACCTCGTTTCCGAGAACGCGGGGCGGACTGCGGCGGCTGGGGACGGACTGGGCAGACCCTTGGGGCCCACCCCGAGCCAGAGCCGCTTCCAGGTGGACCTCGTTTCCGAGAACGCGGGGCGGACTGCGGCGGCTGGGGCCGGGGCTGGGGGTAAGGAGACCCCAGCGGACGGGAAAGCTAGCGGCGAAAGCGGGCCAGGCAAGGGCAGCGAGGAAGCCAAGGGCCGCTTCCGCGTGAACTTCGTGGACCCGGCTGCCTCTTCATCTGCTGACGAGAGCCTGTCGGATGCGGCGGGGGTCGGAGGCGACGGGCCCAACGTGAGCTTCCAGAACGGCGGGGACACGGTGCTGAGCGAGGGCAGCAGCTTGCACTCGGGAGGCGGCGGCGGCAGTGGGCACCACCAGCACTACTACTATGATACCCACACCAACACTTACTACCTGCGCACCTTTGGCCACAACACCATGGACGCCGTGCCCAGGATCGATCACTACCGGCACACCGCAGCGCAGCTGGGCGAGAAGCTACTCCGGCCCAGCCTGGCTGAGCTCCACGATGAGCTGGAAAAGGTGAGCTCTCCCAGCCCTCCCTCATGCCCAAGCGCTGGTCCTCCGGTCCTCGCTGACCGCGGGATGTGGCTGCCGGCTCGCCACGGGTGAGGTGGCGGGAATGGACGTGCGCGACCCGTGGCATCTCTGCAGTCAGCTGTCAAGGGTGGGATTGCGGAGGAATGTAACTTAATCTCTTAAAAGTTTGCAGCGGGTTAAGCTAGTTAGGTAATAGAAGAGAGACTGCATTTAACAATCTTCACCATCCACTTGTGTATCTGGTGTACGTTTTCTTTCTCACCCACGCTTAACAGTCTTAACATCCCTCTGAATGGTAGTTGTGCTTGTGGGCCCCGAGAAGGGAGTGTGCGGGAGGTTTAGGGGAGGATGGCTCTGGGGAGAGAGTGGAGAGCACCTACCATCTTTTTAGATGTCCTTTTTAAAGGTTGTGTTGTATGGTTTATGTATACCTATTAGGGGTCCCGAGAGTGGGAACAGTAGTGTTTGAAAAGAAAATCTTAACAGGGTGTGTTTGTGGTCTATGAATTATTAAAGCTCAATTACTGCTGTCTTGAATATGCAAAGGATTATACAAATCTTAGGATACCCTGTTGCTGATAATGGCATAAATCTATTTTTTATTATTATAAACTTTTTGGGCAAGGACTATATAAAAAGTTGGGGGGCAAAATGTAAAATAGGGGGAGGAGAAAGAAAGAAAGAGAAACAAGAGAATTTTTTTTTTCCCCCTGTGGAGGAAGTCTAGATTGAAAGACATTCGGGGGTCTTGCGTAAGTAGTTATACTTTGTGAACAGAAAACCATCCCTAAAAGTCTACTGGTTCCATAATTCTATTTTTTATGGCCACATCCAATTTTTATTTCTTCAGGGTGTAAAATTATTATTTTGAGATAACTTCAGTGCTTTTGAAATTTGATTAATATTTAACTTTTATGAGTTGGGATTACTTGACGCCTGCTTTAACAAGTGTAAAATGATTACATTGATGAAATTTTGTGAATGCAAAGAGTTGGTACCACCTGGGCTGAGATGTGGTAGTGTGGAAAAGTTTAAATACAGGAAGTATGTAATTTCTTCAGGTGTGATTGTTTGATCTCATACACTCATTTTATACAAGGCTGTACTTGTCCTAGTGTTTGATAATGTAACATTCATACAGTTTGAAATAATTACAGAGGTCCCAATCCTTACAGCTTACTGATTCTTTAAAAGCCTGACATCATTTAGCTTTGGATAATACTACTTCTGTTACTCCGTTATGGTATTTTGTCATATCAGAAGACAAACAGTTTTTAAAACATTTATACTCTTGTAGTTTCTTTCAAATTTATTTTTATCCTAACCAAACTCCAAATCTCTGTAAAGTAGATGTGTAGCTGGTAATTTCCCTTTTATTATGGCATTTTTATTATTAAAAATATCATATGCTATATTTCAGATTGATTGCACCAAAGCTGAATAGTTAAGTAGTAAGGCAGTCTATATTTACCCATAAGTTTTTAAAAGGGTTTTTGAATTGAAGGATATTCAATTACTACCCAACCTGTGAGCCTCATCTTCCTCAGCTTTGGGGTTATTTTGAAGATTAGAAAAGAAAAGAACATTAAGGCCCATGTTCAGTGCCTAGAAAATAATGGCTTATGTAGTTATTATTATTTTTTCTCCATTTATTTTTTTCTATTTTTTTAATTAACATATAATGTAATATTTGTTTCAGGGGTACAGGTCTGTGATTCATCAGTCTTACACAATACACAGTGCTTACCATAGCACATACCCTCCCCAATGCCCATCACCCAGCCACCCCATCCCTCCCACCACCCTCCACTCCAGCAACCCTCAGTTTGTTTCCTGAGATTAAGAGTGTCTTATGGTTTGTCTCCCTCTCTGGTTTCATCTTGTTTCTTTTTTCCCTCCCTTCCCCTATGATCCTCTGTCTTGTTTCTCAAATTCCTCATATCAGTGAGATCATATGATACTTGTCTTTCTCTGATTGACTTATTTCACTTAGCATAATATCCCCTAGTTCCATCCATGTTATTTTGATCTATGTTGGCCTTTCAGAAAGTACAGAAACTCTAGGGTTTCAGTTTAGATTCTCTTAATTCCTACATGATGAATGTAGTGTATAAATGTTATGTTCATAGCTCCATTTATGCAACAGGTAGTGTAATGAATTCTTTGTAGTTTTTTTTTTTTTTTTTTTTTTACCTTCTGCCACTTGGGTCCTTTATGGTCAGTCAGTTAAAAAGGTTTATTAGATTAAGCATAGAACCTCATATGGAAAATAATTTTGTTTAGAATTTCGCAAATGGACTGAAGAAACACGTCATGTTAAGGAGTACAGATCTGACTATAGAGACTAACTGCTGTTGAAGGAGGGCAGGAGAGGTTCTAGCGTAGTTTGACTGGATCCCCAAAAGTTGTTCCTCACCCTGTCTGTATTTACTTTTACCTCCATAAAACCTATTCTAATGCTTCTAGCCCTCAGTGAATCATCGTGTTTAGAATTTTGTAGCATTTAATTCTAGCACTTGATTGATGTCACACAGTCTACTTTGATCACTAAGTGCTTCAGTTTCCACCTTAACTGGATCTAACTCTGTGCTAGGTTTTATAAAAGAACAAAAGAAGTAAAAGACAAGCACTCTAGAAACCTGTTAGGGGAAAGGACTATATAGTCTTTTTTCTACTTGAATTCCTTTCTTTACCCACCACTGTGACTTTAAAGTTTTTTCCCTGAAAATCCAGATGAAGTGGGATAGTGCACTCCCATGGTGTCTTATGCAGCCATTGTAGAGCCAGGACTTACGAGTTTTCCATTTGTCAAATTTTTACTGGAGAGAGGAGTTTCTTAAGTGTTGGCCACATGGCTCTTGGTACTGTGGGATAATGGAGTGGTTAGCAAAACATATACTTTGTTTAGATATACCTTAACCAAATGGTTGCACAAGTAAGATAGTTACAAGCTTTATTTTCAGGCTTATGTGAGGAAAGTGTAGGATACTAGTAAGGATATAAAGAGACCTAATTTTAATTCGGATTGGGGAGGTCTTTTTCAAGAAATGTGACACTGAAGCTAAAACCTAAAGGATAAGTTAATGATAGGGCAGAACAACATTCCAGGCCAAAGAAACAGTGTGTGTAAATACAGTGAGAGGAGAGAGTGGTATGTCCAAAGAACTGTAAGAACTATAGGAGGCCAGGAGAAGATATTATTATAAATGTAGTGGCAAGTTATTGAAGGATTTTTCATGAGGTAGCAACATGATCTGTTTTGTTATATCATCTCTGGCTGCTGGATAAAGAATGGATTGGCAGGAGCAACAATGGAAGCAGGGAGACCCAAGCTATTACTGAGTTACAGATAATAAGAGTTGGTGGCAGAATGAATCGCATGCAGGTGGATTGGATGTGGGAGTGAAAGAGGAGCTGATTCCCAGGTTTTGGACGAGCAACTGAATAGACGGTGCCTCTATTGAGATGGTGAATACAGGAGGACTAGATTTGAGAGGGGAAAGAAGGAATTGTGTTTGAGTAGTAGTTTATAAGACATCTTAATCCAAGAGTCATTTTGAGGGAGGAGGGCAGAATATATATCTATAGAAATGTGTATGTGTTTGTGTGTATATGGTATGTACACATGCATGTGTATATATGTACGTGTGTATATACATGTGTATATCTAATACAAAGAAGTGTATGTGTGTGTGTTTAGAGAGAGAGTGTCTAAAGTCATGGACTTGAAATGACTCCGGGAGAGTGGGTAGATAACAGAAAAGAAATGGGGTCTGGGATTAGGCGTAGAGAATATATAAAGGTTTGTTAGAGGTTGAGGAGACACTAACAAAGGGTGAGAAGGAGCCTCTACGCTGGTGAGAAATAACCAGGGTAGCAGTGTCAGGGAAGCTGAGAGAGGAGTTTTAAAGAAGGCAGAAACTCTTCAGGGCTCTTACCAGGAATTGATTTTTTTTTTTTAATCTTTTTCAAAAAGTAAGTCCAAAGTACTGATTCTTGCCCCTACAAGGAGAAATTTAAAAGTGGAGGTCAAACAAATTAATATTTGATGGGCAACTTCAACGCGTATAATGGAAAGCATGATGATCAAATATGGAAGAATTGAGTGATGGACAATCCATAATAGCTTCTACGGGATTAAAGCATTATTAAAACAGTTTTAAAGGTAGAATTACCTTTGCCCAGTTGTCCTTAGTCAAGGCTTGGGCACCTTTTGCTGGTGGTATGTCATTTTTGCATATGGCCTCTCTGTTACAACCTTTCTCATTAATAAAAAGAGAGAGGAACTACATCTAATGTCTTTTATGTCTCACTGAGCTTGTTGGTTTTTCATACAATTCCCAAGAAACAGGTCTTACACATATTTTACTCGTGATAAAATGGGTTCATAGAAGCTGAAGAAATTGCTTAATGTCACTCATAGAAAGCAGAACAACTGGAAGTCAGACCCAGGGTTTTCTGACTCTAATGCCAGGACCTAGTAGCTTCTCTTTGTTGTTATCTCTTCTTCTTCCTCCCTGTCCCTGGACCTGCTCTGAGATGGCAGGGATGTTGAGGAAGACACATTGGGGATTACCAACATCATCCCTCTGCCCTGACTTCGAGAAGGGGGAATGATGGTATAACTGAGAGAAATGAGGAGGAACACTTGTGATAATGTAATCAGTGATGAATATGACTGTCACTTTCATAGGATCTGAGCTTGTGTCTCATGTATCTCCGTACATAGAACAGGTACTTAATAAACATTTGTTCACTGAATGTATCAGGGTAGGCAGTTCTTCCTCTTTAAGGACTTCAAATAAAGCATTAAACAGCATGTTATCTCCACTAACTTGTGTAGCTGCTTCTTTGAGTGGGCTGTGTTGATTCTGGGACAAGAAATTTCACACACGACTAATGACTTTATTACATAACTTGGGTCCTTCAAGTTTCCTGCAGGAAAGAATGGGTCACATCCCATGAAGAGGGGAGGAGTAGAG